GCTCAGAATCCTCTAGCAGTCTTTTCCTGAGGCTTGTATCTCTTATACCTAATACTTTTTGGTCTTTATACCTAATACTTTTTGGTCTCTGATCATGGACTCTTTTAGGTCTCCAAAGCTGCATGTCTGGCTCAGCAGTTTGAGGTCTTTGAGAAACCCCTCTATTGTCTCTCATTCTTTCTGCTGTCTCATGTGGAAATTATACCATTCAAAGATTTCATTTTGTTTGGGTATACAGTATTCCTCAAACTTTTTTATTACTGTGCCATAGCTTTTTTATTACTCTGCTTCTGACAGTTGTAGGCTACAGTATTATTATTATTACAGTATTATTATTATTATAGTATTAAATATATTTATTCAGAGAGCTTTCTTAGCTTACTGATCTGGTGTTCTCTCTAGTATTCCCTGGGCCAATGTAACAATTTATATATAACACTCTTAAAGGTATCCACACATCCTTCAGCTTTAAACCTTTTCCCACCATTCTAGTGCTTGTTCACAAGAATAAACTAAGATTTGCCCCTAAAATAACTTCTTACCCCAGTGAATCTTAATCTAACCTGGTTCAGTCTGAGCTTTGTGGATCCAGCAGGGAAAGTTTTGCCAGCTTATGATGTACCCCTGCGGTTTGTATGGTATAGGTTCTGTGAAAGAGGCAGACTCAGAGTTATCAATTGCTCTGAAAATCACCTTAACCACAGGCAATCATTAAAGTAAACACAATATCAAAAAACGTTTATTACCCAGGCTCCAGATTTTCCATTTCCCACAGAAAAATGGAAAAAAATGGATTTTTCCTTTTAACTGAGAAAAATGCAGATTTCTTATTTTAACAGAGAAACACGTGGATTTTGCACCTTTGCAAAGAGCTCTCTGGAGGCTGGCAGAGCTTCTTGCTGCTGTGAGACCTGTGCCACTTTGGCAAGGCAGCCCAGGGGCTGTGGGTGGGGAGTGAGGGGCCTGGACTTGAGTCTTGGTGAGCAGAGAGGGTAGGGGAACCTCTGATTTTCCATAATAAATATCCCCCAAAATCAAATACCCAAATGTATAGGTATTTAGAAGTTATTTTATTACAATGACTGAGGCATTGTTAGGCTTCCAGATTGCTTTAAAATGGTAAATATATCAATAAAACATTGTGTTCAATTGATACCTATCTATATGGTGGCCTTTCATTTTAATTATGGATTTGTGGGGGGGTTGATCAGAGAATTTGCATTTTTATCAGAGAAGTTGCAATATTTAAACAGAGAAAACCAGGATCCCTATTTATTACACAAACAAGAAAAATCACATAAACAAATAGGTGCAGATTGTACAGACTGAATATGAGAAATGAATGCCCCCAAACTGAAGTAAGATCCCACTCCACATTGCTTATTAAAAAGCAGGACCTCTCTGCCCAAAAAACTGCCCCTTTTCTCTCCTAACAGGTTGCTTGCAGGTTACCCCAGCTTCTTCAAGCTGGGGGACTGGATCACTCAAAGCCTAGGAATCACTAGACCAAGAAATGAGAAGGGCTAGGTTTGCTATATGTGACCGCTGATGCTCAGGGTCCATGTTCCCTCCTCGCAGAGACATCTTACAAAACAAAGACTTTTCCAACACAAACAGCTTTAGGTTTCATGATTCGACGTTATGACATCTGGAAACTGAGATCCAGCCAGCTGGCAGAGGGCTGGGGGCAAGAAGGGCAGGCAAGGAGAGGGGGGGCAAGGGGAAACTAGATCATTTCCAGCTTCTTCCCCTTCCCCCATTAGATGTGTGTGATATATTAAAAGTCTGTTGTTCCCTAGCCAGGCTTTGCCTGTGTAGGATCTGAAAAGGACTTGTTCTGCTTTCTGCATCAACCTGCTGTCTAGTGCTCTTTTTAGTCCAGATTTTGGACCCACGATGCATCCTCCTTTTGAAAAAAGTGCACTTGCTAGCTCATGTCCCTTACTCACAGCGTACCAGCTCAGGCTGCTTACCAGTTTCTTTAGGAACAATGGTCTCTCTCCTACCTGTGATCCAGCCTCCCAAATAGCAGTGGACTCAAAGCTAAGCGGCCACCTACTAGTAGAGAATAACTTGAGGCAAGGGGGAAATGCTCCAACAGCAAACTCTCCAAGTAAGTCACGGGGCTGGGCTGGGATGAAAAGGCACAGGGATTGGTTTGTTGAAGCAGGTTATACAGGAAGTAATTAATTGGCAAACAGTTGCTGCCAACATTCCCTATTCAAGATGGAGCCTTTGAAAGTTTTGCTACTCCTGCTGCACTGCAAGTTCACTGTTGCCACCACAGGTAATTCAATTCATAGTGCTGCTGTTTTCGATTTTTCTTATAGCTGTGTGATTTTTTTCAAGTGCTGAGAGATGTGTTCTTGCTAAGAGGAGGTTTCTCAGCATTTGATTTTCTAAGCCAAATGTGTGGCTTGCTATTGTCTTTTTAAGCATGAAACAGGGAATGCTATAATCCTCTGACTTTTGAGGCAGAATGTGGTGGCCTGTCTTCAGGGGTGTGGGTTGCAGCTGTGTTGGTCTAAGGACATCGGTAGACAAGGTTCTTTGGGTGAATCCGGTATCTTTTATTAGACTAACTCAGATAGTTGAAAAAATTCTTCTTAGCAAGCTCTTGGGCACAAACACCCTTCATCAGGCTGAGGTAGACTGTCTTGGCATTCACAGGGTTTATTCCAATGGCCTCGGAAATAACACACACAGGACGAGGCGGAACAAGGCAACTGGGCCTCCAAGGCAGCGGTGATGCAGAGGCAGTGGCAACCTCCAGCTGCCCCCATACTGCTGGTGTATCTGCAGCAGTGGCATCTCAGTGCCTGGGTTGTTTTTCTGGTTGTCCTGCCTTAGTTTCGCTACTAAGCCCAGTCAGGAAACACAAAATTAGACACAGTGACTCAGTCTCTGCTCCAATTATTGCAGAAACATCATGAACTTAAAAAGATTCCCTTCTATATGCATATTGTTTGTACTCTGAGCAACACAGGAAATGCTTATAATAGACAAGAAGGTGAACAGCTTGCTGTAGGTTGAGTAGCTCTGCTGAGTATGGTCAGTAAAAGAGAGGGTTTTGGGGCAACAGGGAAAAGAAAATATTTTAAAAGACAGGAAATGCATCTATAAAGCAACAAACAGCTAGAGTCCTCAGGGCAAAAGTGGGGCTAGGATCTCATTTATGAATCAGACTCTAAGCTGATGTTTAATTATTATTGCTTTTAGACACCACAAACTGCCCCCTCCCCCCCCCCAGTGATGACAGATTTGGACTCTGTACACTGTAAAGAGGTGGGAATGGAATGGCAAGAGCTAAGTTCAGGTTCCTCTGTCCATCTGCACTCTCAGCAATACTGATTCCCTGCTGGTAACATGCACAGGCCCAGACCCAAGACTTTTGTAACTCTAAGATAGCACAGATCCTTGGCATGAGGCCAGATTACTTAGCCAGGACTGTGCTGTAGTGCTTAGGAAGCTCTCTGTCTGGTCATTTGTCCTTCTTCCAGCAAGCCTAAGACAGGCCAGGAACTTCGCCCTAAGGATTTTATGGTGCTTGCAGCAGTGTATGGTGTTTCTGGAATGACTGATAGGCTAAAGTAGTGCTGATCAGGACATGATTTTGCATGCTTCTGGCAGCACACCCATCTCCCAGCAGCATAATATCTGTGGTTAGGCAGGTTGGAGAAAGTTGCAGCCCAGTAGCTCACCAGAGTTTATACCCTGAGCTTCCATGCCATCTGCAGGCTGTAGCTGTCAAGTTTCTCCAGGAGAGTTGCTGCTCTTCCACTAGAAACCATGAGTGTACAAATGCTCAAGATTTTTTTCCTAGAGCAAATATAGCCACTTCAGGAGAAAAAAGAAACTGGGAACCGCCAGGGTTGAATTGCTCCCAGGAAATTTTCTCCTGGGAGAGCAAATATTTGTACATTTCCTTCTAAGAGAAGTCACAGCACAGTCCTCCATCATCCCAGGGTGTTGTTCCTGCCTTTGCCAGCAAGACAGTGAGTACATCTACATGAGACCTTCTACTGTACACTGTACTATTCTAATAAAGTAGTGTCACCATCTACACGTGTGCAATTGCTATGCAGTAGATTAGACTAATGTGCCATTTTCTAGGACCTGTAGCAAACTGCTTCTGGTCAGCCTAGGCATCAGAGGCCCATAGGGGGCAGGGAGAGCTGTCCCAGCTGCCAGGATGCTGCCTACCAGCCATGTGGAGATTGGGATGGGTCCCGATCTCCATGTGCTGGGAAAGCTGTCCAGGCTGCTGGGCCCCACTCTCTATGGGGCTGGAAGGCAGCTGCCCAGCAACCAGGACAGCTCTCCTCTGCCCTGCAGATATCGGGACCAGCTCCCATGACCCCTGCCAGCCTGGGGCTGGCACCTGGGGGAGCCTGGAGCTCCCCTTGGCTGGTGCAGGGGGGCAGAACAGGGCAGGAGCAGCCCTAGACTGAATTCCCATCGAGAGCAAATTTGCTCTTGATACGCACATGTTCAGATGCAAGATGGAGCACAGTTTAATGCATCTGAATTTTCTGCACAGAAAATTCAGGCACATTAATTGCACGTGTATATTACCCAGTGTGTCACTGGGGCTTGATTCTACTGGTCTAACCAAGTAGGGAGCAGGAAATGCATCTCAAAATCCCCACATTGTGCTGCAGGGAGACACAGGCTGACCCTGAGTGGTTGTCTACACATGTTTTAGTGCACTTTTCCTAATGCACATTAAATTTAGTACCTCCAGGCATTTTTACACATGCAAGCGTCACAGCACGGGGCACTTTGAAAAGTGCCTGGCCCTGCAACACTTGTATAAGTGGCAAAATGTGTGTCAGCGCACAGAAAATGGTGGCAGTGCACGTTTGAACTAAAACACATTGGAGGTGCTTTAATTCAAAAGTGCACTGCCACCATTTTCTGCACGCTGACCCACCTTTTGCCACTTATACAATTGCACATGGCACAGCACAGTTCGCCTCAGCTCACATACAGTAGTGGATCTCTGGTGCATCGCAGGACCGAAAAGTAGGTGTATAAATGTCCTCCAGTGTGAGGTACTAAATTAAAGGGCAGCCTAATGCGCAAATGCACAGTAGCCCAAATGCATGCTTTTTGGTTACACGTAATGTGTAGTAGCCTATTTTACAGTGTATTAGTGTAATAGCATAGTTTTTTACATGATGCTTTAATGTGCAGTAAAATAGGCATTAAAGTGCATGTATAGATTCACCCAGCAATGCTTTCACAGATCTCCCAGCAGTGGCTATCGCTGAGCAGCCAGAAACAACCCCACCACACTCCTCTGTCATGTAAACAGGACTGCTGGGATCACCATTACCCTAGTGACAGAAAAAAAACAAAGTTCCATGGTTTTCACTTCAGAGCTCATGACAAGGCCAAGTCTGAGCAGCTGGAGCCTGTACAGGAGGCTCTGGTTAAGCAAAACCAAAATATTCTCTGAGGCTTCCACCAGCATACAAGCCAACAAGGTCTCTGCCACGTTGCTTTTCAGACAATCCGGAGACATGCACAGGACATATATCCCTTGTCAGCCCCTAATCCAGTGACTGAGAGTGACTTGAGATCCTTTGAGGGATGCCATGAGACCTCATGCAATGTTAACGCTGTTAGGTGTGCAAACATGATTCACAAGATAAACCCAGGGATTTCAAATAAGAATCCATAGTGTTAAAAAATGACCTTTTGTGGTCTTTTTGAGTTCTTTGCAATAGAAAAAAAATGCTATATTCTGGAAGTGAAAAGTGAAAACTAAGAGCTGGCATTTTCTGAAGGGTGCCTTGAGCCTAAAAAGTTGAGAACCACTGCCCTAAGCCCATTTCTCTTTGATGAGAGAAGCCCAGGCCCAGGCTAAATGAGTGCAGGCAGTTCCTTGTTTTGACTCTAGAAGTAGATATTGCATTTGTTCCTGGACAAGTTGTGCCTGTGTTTGTCTTGGAACAGAAATATCTCAGGATTGATCCAACTCACTGCCCTTCTAATCAGGGGTTTAAGAGTGGCTGAATGTATTGCCACTTTCCTGCTATTGATTCAATCCCAGGTGCAGAGTTCAGACACACTTTGCAGTGTTCCAGAATAAACTGTTAGCAGGGCTGTGCAAAATGGCACCATTCTGTTTTGACTTGTGTTTCGACAGAATAGCGTTTCATTTTAAATTTCATTTCGATTTGAAACTGCTGTTCCATTTCGTTTAGTCGAAACAGTTTAGCTGTTTTGACATTTCACCCATAAGCTATATTGAGGAAGCTTGAAACAGCCTATAACTTTGTCATTTCTGGCCTGATTTGGATACAACTTGTAGGAATGGTAGTCCTTTCTGAGGGCATGAAGCCTGCCAAGTTTCAAGGAGATAAGTTCAGGGTTTTCAGGGAAACTGCACCTCAAAGTCTTGAAAGCAAAAAACTCATGTCACGTGTATGTGTTAAGCCACAGCAGGGTCAAAACTGCAGGCTTGCTATCCCCTGCTGAGGCCACAAAGCCTGCTGGCTTTCAAGGAGTCAGGTGTAGGGGTTTGGGGGAAACTGTGCCTCTGGCTGCTGACAAGCAAAACTCGCGACATGGGTGACACTGTGTGTTAAGGCGCAGCAGGGTGAAAGCTGCAGGGATGGTAGCCCCTGCTGTGGCCACGAAGCCTGCCAGCTGTCAAGGAGGTAGGTGCAAGGGGAGTCTGAGTTCTGGGGCCCTGCACCTCTAGCTGCTGATAGGCAACATTTGTGACATGGGTGGGTGACACTGTGTGTGTTAAGGTGCGCCCTCACCCAACTGACACCAAGGCAGAAAGCAGGGCAGTTCAAAAAATGCTGCTTTCTTCGCAGTTTTTCCATTCCTCCCCCAGACCACTGGGATAGGAGGGGACCTCAGAAAAGGATGACAGTCACTGGCCAGCTATGCAGTTAATAAAGAGAGCAGTTCTTCCCCCACCCTCCCCCCTTTCCTCCTCCCTCACCTTACTTTAGTTTCTGTTTCCCTGCAGGCAAGCCCAGCTTGAGTTTTGAAACTTGAAGCATTTCAAAATTTTCAAAACGTTTTGACTTTCCTCATTTCGTTTCAAGGTTGTTTTGAAGCTCTCCGTTTCAATGCGAATTTGCTGTTTAGAGCTTGAAATAAGTCGAAACAGCATTAAACAAAACTGCTGGCAAAATTTCACACGGCCCTAACTGTTAGTACTTCTAATTTTGTGAACCTTTTCATTCCCAGAAGATAAACATGGACATCTGAATGACTGCACTTTGTCCTGGGATAAAATGATTTATTGCAAGACAAATGTGATGTCTTCTAGTCTCAAAACCCATCAGAGATTTTAGTTGCTCTGTAGGCTTGCAGGGAGCTACCTGCTGTGGCTTTTTTGCTCACCTACGGTCTAGTGTCTCCCAGATGGAAGTAGAAGGCCTCAAACCCACTTCTGATAAAGTGCTGCTGAGTTTATTCAAGCTGTGAAATATGATTGATTTATTGTGGGAGATTAGCTAAGTTATGGATTGCCCACCTAAGTTCTGTGATATTGGATTATTAGCATCTCATAAACACTCAACCTTGCAGTGTATGGTGCTGTGGGTTGTGCTGCTCTGCAATGTTTCCACTAAGGAAATGATTTACACTGCACTGCATTGTGATATTTATATTGTTGCGTTGAGTTGCACTGTGCTGGGCTACACTGTGTCACACCAATGGCTTTAGAGCTATACTGGTAAATTGCCGGAAAAGATGCTCTCATTTTGGAATAGCTGGCACTGCCTGGTGAACTCTTTCAATAAAACTATAGCAGTGTGAGTCTACCATCATAATACTTTATGACTCATGACTCCCCCACTGGCCAGCTTTTCCAGGTGATTGTTTTCACTGCACTATCGTGTTTCTTTTGTCTTTGTTAGGTCACTTTTGGCATGTCACAGACCTCCACTGGGATCCTGAGTATACCATGACAACAGATCCTCTCAAGGTGTGTCCATCTGCTGGATCCCAGCCAGTATCCAGTGCTGGGATGTGGGGAAATTACCTGTGTGATTCTCCCTGGAGTCTCATAAACTCCTCCATTTATGCCATGAAGAACATTCTGCCTGCTCCAGATTTCATCCTTTGGACTGGGTAAGGAAGCCATGCCCAGCAGTGGCAGAAAGGACATGATCACAAGATAAACTTATGAATGTCATTGTTGGGATGCCATGTACAGGAGTACTTTCAATTCCACTCCCAGGGAAATGTCAATAGCTTAGCATTAGTGCTGTTGCTCTGTGGTCAGCAATTGCAAACAAATAATTGTAGTCACATCTTCCTTTCTGTTCTTGAAGACAACTATCTTCTATTGCAAATGCCAACTGTTCATACTTCTCTCCCAAAAGAATCCCCACTGGCTTGGCTGTACAACCATGAGATTTTAAAGATTATAAAGTCTGAGTTGCCATGCGCACCACTAACTGCACCACAAAAGGCTGTCCCTGTTGTGCTACACAGGCTGTTCTGGTCCACTGCTAGCTGTATCTGATATTTGTGCTGTTTTCTAGTGATGATACACCTCATGTCCCCAATGAGAGACTCGGAGAAGAAGTGGTGCTGGAAATAATTGGAAATCTGACTGCTCTGATAAAACATGTATTTCCAGGTATGATCTGGCAAACAATGAAGGGGGAAGTGTAAGGACTATCTCACTCCAGTGCCTCACTGGGAGGAAAAAGCAGTTTGGGTATGCAGAGACAGGAGAGCTAGAAAAGGAGGGCCATCTAAGGGATCAGAGCATAAATGCAGCAGGCACTAGAGTTATTTATGTCATTCCTATAGGTTGTAGGGGAAGTAAGGAGGGTATCTGGCTTGTCCTCCTTGTTCCTAGTTACCTTCACTGCTGAAAAGAAAGACACACTGTGAGAGGGGAGCTTTGAAAACAAGCAACTTTTAAAAAATTCAAGGTGGAGAAAAATCTGACAAATCTGCTGCTGCTTGAACCTGTGTGGGAGAAAGCATTTTACCAGCTCCATGGCATCTTGGTCTTGGTACAGAGTCTAAATGTACTACATCCCCTGTTCATGGCAGCACAAATATGGGGCCTTCTCCTGAATGGTGCTGTATCCCACTGTCAGACCCCTGCACCATTTTATTACCTCCAAAGCTGTAAGCTTACTTGGCATTCTTAAGCATTGGTACTCTGAAGCAGGCAGACATTTCTTAATGTTTCCTCTTTTGTTTCCCTGTAGACACTAAAGTCTATTCTGCAATGGGCAATCATGACTTCCACCCCAAGAACCAGTTCCCAGGGGAGAGGCACAGGATCTACACCAAAACAGCTGAACTGTGGCACTCCTGGCTCAGCAAAGCTTCCCTTTCAACGTTCATAGCAGGCAAGCCCTGAACCTCTGGTACTGCTGCCTCATGCTGTCTGCATTGCTGAGATGAAGGAAAGTTCCTGAGCTATTCTTGGGGCATGGTTTTCTTGCTGTGCTGCTAGCAGTGTTGCCATCCATGGAGATGGCAGTTTTGGGGCCATATCTGCACCTGGGGGAAGGGCCTAACCTCACACCACTCACATGTGCTGAATTCACTTTCTCTGGGGAAAAGAAAAGCCACTTCCTCATGTTTTCTTTTCTCACTACCACATAAAAGAAAGTCCCAGTGCTGTGCCTCAGTATAGAGGAACCGGAGGATTGCATTGTAATGAATATAAAGGGGATGTTTTAAGGATACTGCTGGACCCAGATGCACCAAGTTCTTTCTGGCTCTCTAGTGCCTAGACTGATGTCTACAGACTGTCATCATCACACTACATCAGGGGTAGGCAACGTTTTTTTGGCCGGAGTGCTGAAAAACACCACAATGCCTACCTTGGAAGATGCTGGATTGCCAGCATGCCAGAAAAACAAAATGAGGGCAGGGGGTACATGGCAGGACATCCTGCTTGTGCCGCTGTCAGCAGCTACCCTGGCTCTGGATAGCTGCTGGAAACTGGGCTGCTCCCAGTAGGGCTTGCAGCATCCCAGCTGCGTGCTGGGAGCAGCCCGGGCTCCTGGCTGGCAGCAGCTACCCAGAGCCAGGACCAGCTGCAGCCAGGAGGCTGCAAACAGCTGCACTGGGCTCTGGAGCCCCAGCATCAGCTCTGTACCAGAGTGCACACGTGCCTTGGAGCAGGTGGTGGGGGATGGGCCTGAGGCAGTGCAGCCCCGGTCTCTCCCCCACTCCCAGCACAGAGCTGGTGACTGGACAGCTGTTTGTAGGCAGGCTGCAAACAGCTGCACCGGGCTCCACAGCTCCAGCATCAGCTCCATGCTGGTGGCAACTGCGTGTGCACCTGGGGGCGGGCTGCACTGCCCTGCTGTCTGCTCTGAGGTGCATTTACAGTCACCGTCAACACAAAGCTGATGCTGAACTGTGGAGCCCGGTGCAGCTGTTTGCAGTCTGCCCACTGCTTGCTGCAGCTGCCCAGAGCCCAGGCTGGCCACAAACAGCTGCGCCGGGCTACGGAGCCCAGTCACCAGCTGTGTGCCAGGAGCGAGGGAGAGACCAGGGTTGCACTGCCTCAGGCCCTGCCCCCACCATCCGCTCCGAGGCATGCATGCGTGCACTGGTACAGAGCTGATGCCTGGGCTCCAGAGCCTGGCACAGCTGTTTGCAGTCTCCTGGCTGCAGCCGGCCCCGGTTCTGGGTAGCTGCTGCGGGCTGGGAACCCAGGCTTTTCCCACCAGGCAGCTGGGACACTGCAAGCCCTGCTGGGAGCAACCTGGGCTCCATCGCTGCCAGCAGCAACCCAGAGCTGGGGCTGGCTGGGGCGCGCCAAGCAAAATGGCCTTGCGTGCCATGCTAAGCACGTGTGCCAGGGGTTGCGGACCCCTGCACTAGATCTTCCTTAACCTTGCTTGACTTAAGCAGCCATGGAAAGAAGTGCTGGCTATACTGCAGGAATTTTGTTCCCTTAGCCAATATTTATCAAATGAACAGAAAACTCTCAGACATGTGCAGGACCACACTGGGCTTCTTTATAAAGCATATCCTAACCTTTGCATGACCTAGCAGAAGGTCTGAGAGCACCGGTGCAGAAAGATCTGAGCAGACTACCAGATGATAAGTGCAGCTGGCAGCAAAGATAGCGAAGGAGTCAAACAGTGTAGAGTAGTGACAGAACAGATTAGGAATTAGAGAAGTAAATCAGAAGGGCTGGATTGGATGCACCCTCAGGTACTGAAGGAATTGTCTAAGGAAATTTCAGAGCCATTAGCTATTCTCATTGAAAACTCATAGATGAAATAATTGTATTTACAAATACAGACTGTGGAATGACTGGCTAGGCTGCAGTACTGTGGAGAAGGACCTGGGGGATCTGGTGGACCATATAAGCCACCAGTTTGCTCTTGTAAAAAAATAAAATGAAATAAAAAAGGCAACAGTATATTGGGGTGTATTAATAGGAGGGCCACCTGCAAGTCAAGAGAAGTGATTCTTCGGCTGTTTTCAGCACTGGTGAAGCCTCACATGAAGTACTGTGCCCAGTTTGGGACCCCACACTTCAAGAAATATGCAAACAGATTGGAAAAAGCCCAGAGGAGAGCCATAAGGATGATTAGGGGCCTGGGAAGCAAGATTTATGAGGAAAGGCTGAAAGAACTAGGATTATTTAACTTGGAGAAGAGAAGACTGAGGGGGAATTTGATACCAGTCTTCAAATACCTGAAGGACAGTTATGGAGAGCATAGATATGGGTTTATCTCTGGCTGCAGGGGACAGGACTAGAAGCAATGGCCTCAAGCTGCAGCAGAGGAAATTTAGGCTGGAGATTAGGAGGAACTTTCTGACTGGGAAGGTGGTCAAACATTGGAACAGGCTACCTAGATAAATTGTTGAAGCTTCATCTTGGAAAATTTTCAAGAGCAGGTTGGACAGACACTTGGCTGAGATGATTTGGTCAGGGATGATCCTTCTTTGAGCAGGGGGCTAGATTAGCTGACCCCATAAGGGTGTGTGTCCCTTTCAGCCCTGCTTTTCTGTGTTCTTATGGTCTTATGACTTTACTCAAATCACGGTGTCATCTGATCCTGTTACAATTAGAGAACTATAACATAGTGTTCAAAATGTTGGCAGTGGCTGGCACCTTGTCCAGATTAGGGCTCTCATCACTTCTGCACAAGTGGTGCTGAACAAGAAGAAGAAATGGGGTGCTGAGAGCACAAATCTTCCTGGCCATTCCTTCATGTCCTTCTCTTGCTGGGTATGTTTTGCAGGTGCTTTCTACAGTGAAAAGCTGGTAAGCCCAAATTCAGCAGGGCGAATTATTGTCCTCAACACTAATCTGTACTACACCCAGAACAGTCAGACTGCTGGTATGGAAGACCCAGGGGGGCAGTTCCAATGGCTGGAAGATACACTGAATAATGCCTCAAAAGCAGGAGAAGTGGTAAAAATGCTTTCTTAAGGGATTCCCTCACCTGCCGCATGCAGTATCTCTTCCACTTCTGAGCCCCCTTTTATCTGAAAGTCTGGATAGCCTCTCCTCTGCTTAGAAACCTAAAGTTAGTCTGTACTCAGCTTGGTTGCTCATTTTGGCAGGTCTATATTGTGGGGCATGTTCCACCTGGCATCTTTGAGAAGAAGCGAAGCAAGCCCTGGTTCCAAAAGCAGTTTAATGAGCGCTATGTGGAGATCGTGCAGAAGCACCACAGTGTGATAGCTGCCCAGTTCTTTGGACACCATCACACTGACAGCTTTCGAATGTTTTACAGCAATACAGGTACCAGTCCTCAGCCTCATGTGATGTCTTCCCCAACAGCCTTGTCCACACGAGCAGAGTGCACATTGCAGATAAAGATTTTCATAGATCACTCTCTGAATGCATTTTCCTGGAAATGGTTGACATTCTTGGAAAGGCTTGTTCTGAATCACAACCCCTGAAGCGGCATGGGCCAGCCTTTGCTCTAGTTTTTTCTGGCATAGAAATGATTTCAGTACTGTGCAGAGGGATACTTATTGCAAACCACTGTCAGCCAGAGGAACCATGCCTATGTAACTATTTGGCCAGACCTCCTTCCTCCCACCCCTTGGCACAGCTAGAACAGTTCTCTGCAGAGGTGCTCTTCTCTCCTGCAGCATAGTGGGATAGCTGCACAGATTTTTCCAGCATGTGTAACCTTTAGGCTGGTGTGCTAACTTATACACCTCTCTCTTTCCCTTTTTGTGTGTGATCTGCAGGGAATTTCCCTGTTACACCCCTGCTGTTTTATCTCAAGCTGGAGAGATAAGTGCTGTACATTTGGCTCAAGAGGTCCCCACTTTGGCCCCTAGTGTCAGCCAAGATGATGGCTGGCTGTGCTTTGTGAATGTAGCTAGGCAGTCCTTAACGTGGCTGACAGATGATTGTGTTGGGGAAAAAAGCGACTGTTTGTAGTGGGTGGTCAGACAGAAAGACCACATGCTGGTGACCCCGCATGGTAGTTGTAGTGTGGACTGGGCTCTACCCACTCATGGACTCTTTTGCCTTTCTGGTAAAGGTTCCCCAATCAACAGCCTGTTTTTAGCCCCTGGAGTGACTCCCTGGAAAACAACGTTACCTGGTGTACACAATGGAGCCAACAACCCAGGGATCCGGGTATTTGACTATGAGCAAGACACACTGCAAGTGAAGGTAGGAAATACCTCCCACATTCTGTAGTGTAGCAACATGGGGGATGATTTGATTAATGCCTTCACAGTGTATTAATAAAGAGCCAGGGACAGCGTAAGTCCAGGGATTCAGGGGAGTTGGAGGCAAAATATTCCAGCATCACAGTTCACAGGCAGGTTTGATTTCAGTAGGGCAAAGGCAGGAAGTGGAAGTGCTGGGGAAGGGGGATATAGGACAACAGGTTCCCAAACCAAGCCACAAGAGTATGTGCATACACAGGCACTTCTGGTGGCTTACTATGTCTCTACTCAATACCTGCCCAGCCACATACCTCTGCTTTCTGTTCTCTATGCATCATAGGTGTAAAGAGGTAGTAAATGCCTCACACCAGCGCCTCTGAATGGGAAAGCTTCTATAGCTAAGTCCTTAGATTGGTTGGATTAAAACAAACAGTGGAGCATTGTTTTTCTCCTTTTTGTCCTAAAGCTATTCTTGGTTTCCTCTTTCTTGCTGCAGGATATGGTGACTTATTATTTAAACCTCACCCATGCTAACATGGTGGCCCCAAGATGGGAGAAAGAGTATCAGCTGACGGAAGCCTTCCAGGTCCCTGATGCCTCTGTACACTCCATGCATACGGTGTTGGAGAAGATCTCTAAGGACAAACACTTCCTCCAACAATACTATCAGTTTAACTCTGTCAAGTACGACCTCACAGAATGTGATGAGACCTGCCAGACTGACCATGTATGTGCAATTAGGGAGGTTGATTTTATGAAATACGATGAATGCATTAAAGTTAGGAGCTTTGGTTCTGCATCTGCTATCCCAGCCAAAGCTCTTGCATTCCTCTGCTTACTCTTGGGACTCCTCAGTTTCTACAGGAGCTCTTGATGACCCTGACTAGTCCCCAGCTAGTAAGGAATGGTATCCTGCCTGATGTCAGCCTCTCCAGTTCCTAGCTAAAAACCCAGGTAAAGGCATTCATGTCCCCACTGTAGTGGTTGCAGAGGTCACTTCATGAGATAGCAGGTCAAGTAAAAGGTGAGGCTTGACCTGCTGACATGTGCAAACCCCAAACTGTCTTTTCTCTAGGATTTCACCTCCAGATAGACAACCCAAAATCAGGGCATACTTCCTAACGAGGACACAGCTAAAGTGAGTGGTACGAGGTAGCAGCAAGTTAAGCATGGTTTATCAGTCAAGCAAGTCGTATTCAGTTCTTTGCTGTGGGAATTTGGATAAGTCTCTTGGGCTAAGATTTTCCAATATCAGTGCCAAAACTTAGGCTATATTAGAAGTGGTCTATTTCCAAATGCTGGGAACCCAGCAACTCTTACTTAGGTCAGTGCATGACCAGCGCTCCTGAAAGCACACCATTTGTTTAAATTCCTTAGTATGGATGGCAGAGCATGACTTAAGGCACTCATTTTAAATTTTTGATTCTTAGTGACTTGGGTATTTTTAAGGAAACCTGGGGCACTGCTTCCCCCTCACCCCACACTGATCCCTGTGTCAGGCAGGAGGGGTGGTCCCCAGCCCAGTCCAGCCCACCCTACCCTCTGCCACAGCTCAGAAGGGCACCAAAGAGCGCCAAAATACAAGTTTGCCCAGGGTGCCACACACGTGCACATGAGCAGCCCTTGTCCACAGCACGACTCTCCCCCTGCCCCATCCTGCCTTAGCCTGGCCACTCCCTGCCCCTGGCAGTAGGAGTGGTGCTCACTCCACCCCACCCGCCCTGCCTCCAGCCACAGTTCAGGAGGAGCTGGGCAGAGCAGTGTGGATGGCATGGCCTCAGTCTGGGACCTTTGTTTCCATTTTCACTAATCAGTTGGGACAGTGGGATGGCCCACAAAATCCAGGACTGCCCTGGTCAAACTGGGATGTATGGTCACCCTATTCATGACCGACCTCTGCTCTGTGTCCAACCTGACTGCTTACCTTGTAAAGCACCTTGAGACACACAAATGAACCGCAACATCCTGTCTGTGGACACCTCCCTTCCTATTCTGATCAACTCATCCCAATTCCCGTTCTGTCCAACATTACAAGGATCACCTCCTGTCCCATCTGTTATGTCCCACCTCAGGTTCCCTTCCATTCACATGCATGTAGATGCTTGCGTTACCTAGGGCAGGGGTGGGCAATTATTTTGGGTGGAGGGCTGCTTACTGAGTTTTGGCAAGCCATTGAGGGCCACATGACAGGCAGGCAGGGGCAGATGAAAATTAATTTTCTAAATTGTTAGGGGCCCCACAGGCCAGATAGAATGGTCTGGCGGGCCACATCTGGCCCACAGGCCACATTTTGCCCACCCCAACCTAGGGGGTAAGATTAAATGATGGACATCCTTTCCAGCCATACTTCTCTATGATTCTATGATGCAGCAGCTGCTGTTTGGGAAGGAACTGTCCAAAAAGGACTGAATCTACCTTTACTTGACTTCAGTGCTGTTCAACACATGGAGATGTGGGGGAGGAGCCCTCTGTCATGGACAGCCACTTGTGACCATGGATAATCATTTTGGGAACACTTGGCTTTGGGATTTAAACACCCAGTCAGATGTACTTACTCCCTTCTAGTGCAATCGGTTCACTTCTGGGCTGAGTTGGCTCAGAGCTCTGTGATCCTGATACTTATATACAGAGTTTACTATATGGATTTTTCAGACCACTGCTTAGCCCTTGAAGCTCTGTTGTAGTAGAAGTGAGTGCTATCATTGCAAGAACGCATGATGCAATCTGTAACAGGCAAGATTTGCAGCAAAGTTCCCCTTTCACTGGTGCTCTACAGGGTATGTGCACTGGGTGAACACTGCCCCACTCCCTTGAGAGTCGCATAGCTCTCCGGTGCCCTGGGCATAGAAACAGGCAATAGCATTACAATAGAAAACAGATTTTTCATATCCATGATCATTCACAATCTGCTTAGTTTGCATCAGGTTGCAGAATTAAGAACATACCACTCAGCTGTCTTGTGGCGTTTACTTCAGCTGGAGTACACCACTGACTGGAGAAGCAGCATCCTCTGAAATAAAAGCCAAAGCAAACAGCTGGAGCACCTCTGCAGTGTTAGGCACCTGTTTGCTACAAACTAGTATACCTATGACTAGTTTGCAAAACCTCTTTGAAGGAGGGTTGGGAATGTCACCCTGCAGAGTCTGGGTTCTGCTATACAGTATACTCAGTCCTAGTCCTATTTTAGTGGGATATCTCCCAGGAGACTGAGACACACAGTGAAAGTAAGAAAAGCTTAAGGGCACTTGTATACGTGATGGGGGTTTAGTACCCCAAAATCAAAATGGTGGGTTTTCAGTTGTGATGATTAAAAACCCACCGGTTCAATTTAGGGGCTTCCATCACTGCTACGGAATTCTTTTTTTTTTTTCTTTCATGGATCCTGCCTGCACCTCCTGTGGCGGGGAGCAAGCTGCTGGGGGGCCAAGTGGCCCTTGAGCTGCAAGGGGCCACGGTCCTTCCCTCTGCAGCAGAAGCACCCCCTGGGGCTGGCCAGGCAGGGTGCTGGCAGGCGGGTGCTGCCCCTGGGTGAGCTTGGGGAAGGGTTGGATCCGGTGAGGTGCTGCGTCTGAGCTGGGGGAGGCCAGGGCCCACTAGCACCCTGCCTGGGTGGCCCTGGTACGTGCCACTGCCATAGAGGGAAGCACCAAGACCCGCCACAGCTCAGGCCGTTCAACCTACCAGCAGCTCACAGGCGGGCTCTGCTGGAAAAAAAAAAGTGAGGGGTCCAATCCTTTTTTTTTTCATGGAGCTTCCCTACCTCTCCCACAGGTTGGGGGTGAGCTGCCAGTGGGTCCTGAGCTGCAGGGGGCCCCATTCCTTCCCTTCACAGCAGTGGCAGCCCCCCCCCGGGGCTGCCAGGGTGGGTGGCTAGTGGATAGGTGCTGCTCCAGCTCAGAGGCAGCACCCAGCCCAATCCAACTGTTCCCTGAGCCTGAGCTGGAGCAGCAGCTGCCCACTAACCACCTGCCCGGGTGGCCCCAAGGGGGGCGCTGCCACCACGGAGAGAAGGACGAGGGCTTCCTGCAGCTCAGGGGCTTCTCAGCCTGCCAGCAGCTTGCCCCCCTGGCCATGGACAGATGTGGACAGGCTCCACAAAAAAAAAAAAAAAAAAACGGGATCAGGCCACGTGCCACTTCTGCCTTTAACCCACCTCTCCCGTGGTAAATGGGCAATTTTTGTCATGTGTACAAGTGTCCTGAGAAAGGTGTGTAATAGATGAAATAGAACCTAAGTAGACTGTGCCACCTAAGTGCAAATCTATTTCACCTTGCTCAAGTTCCTGAAAAAATATTACCTTGTTTAATCTTTGTGATGTACCATCATCTTAGCCTGGAGACATATTTTGTACAAATGCACCCAGGAGGAGGAGGATCTATCCACCTTTTGTGCTAAAAATGTTGCAGGGGCTCAAGCCATGTAAAGAGGATCTTATTTAGGTGGTTAAGTCTGCTTAGATGCCTACTAGGTGGAGTAGGATCTGGCTTTATGAACTTATATCCAGTGACCTTATAGTATAGTATAGCTGTGATCAGCCTGTGTCAGTCTGAAACCTGGTCTCTTAATATTACCAGAAAGAGATTTAAGAGTGTGTGTTTTCTGGGAATCTAAAGGCATGCATCAGAGCAGGGATGGACAATTATTTTGGCTAGAGGGCCACTTAATAATGAGTCTGGGTGAGCTGTCGAGGGCCGCAAGGGTAGCCCATGCATTTGACAGGCACCACACCCCCTGGTTGCCATCTAGGAACTGAGAGTCCCACCTTTAACCCCTGACCTTTTGACATTGAAAATCCCTGCCTTGGCCCTCCCGGCAAGTACTTCTTTTGAGAGGGGGGTTTGCCATCTTCTAATCAGAAAAAAACCCAAATCATATACTAAAACTCAAACATCTATTATAACATATTTTAATTTTTTTCAAAAAATATTTTTGTCCTGATACAATATTTTGTCCAATACAAATTTATTGTATTTTTGTATGCAGTATGTGTTTGTGTAAAGTATATAGAGGTGATTGCATAATAGCTCAAAATAAAGTCTTCCTTTTGTATAGTGTGGGGGGGGTGCAGTGGGGGAGTATGTATGTATGTGGTGTGCACATGACAGCAAGGAGTGGGTTCAGGCTGCTGGCTCCATCATGTGGGGCTCCCTCCCGTGATGCATGGCTCCGGCCGAGTCCTGGGAGCTGCACATGAACCAAAGGACATTCCATGCGATGGAGCTGAGCCAGCCTGGGCTCCATGCTCCCACCAACCGAGGCCTTGGTGCAGGCCCTGTGCTCCTGCCCAGCTGCAGCTTCCTCCCCGCCATCCGCCACCATTTCCCTACCTGCTGCCTGGAGCACTGCAGCAAGGACAGGAGGAGGAACCACTGGAGGCTGGGGAAGCCAAGCAGTTCCCTGGTGGCTGCAACAGTGGCAATAGCTGCTTCACCCAGCAGCTGTGCATGTGGGCCAGGGCCAGGCCGGGGCTGGAGCCCTCCCATGGGGAGGGTAGGAGCACAGCACACTGCCCCACTGGGAGTGGGCAGGGCTCAGCCCCATGCAGAGTACAGCAGGGGCAGCTGGGGGCCAGGCCAGATACAATTAATTGGTGGGTGCCTGCCTGCAGGCTGGATGAAATCATCTGGTGGACTGAATCCAGCCCGCAGACGGTATTTTGCCTACCCCTGTATTAGAAGTACCTGCATGTGGTGGCTCTATTTAAACAGCCATGGTGTGGAATGTGAGGTAATAGCTCATGAGATACTTGATTTTCCATTACAAGTACCTGTCTCTGACAGACTGTCTCACTATCAAGGCCACCATCAATCTTGCTCTCACCTGATGTGCACCCAAGGGCTGGCACAAGCAGACAAATATTTGCCCCTAGCTAGAACCCCTCGAAACACATGGCTTGAGATTGCTATGACCACCTGCCAACTCCCTCCAGCTGTGTGTGCATGAGGAGGAGGGCAGCAGCAGCAGCAGCAGCAGCAAAGAATCTGCAGCATGAGGTTCTGCCCTTCATGCTCCTAGAAAATCACCACCCACCACGCTGGGTTTACAGACTGTGTTTGCTGAGAAGGCCTGGGGGTGCTCTGAGGGGCTAGGAGGGGAGAGCAGGCCTTGAGCATGGACTTGCACTGTTCATCTGTACTGAGAGAAAAAGCCAATTCTCTGCTTCATTTCCTAACTCCAGGTCCTCCTCCTCTGTTGCCAACCTGCTTGCTATTGTTCACAAAAAAGTGCATTTATCTTTCCTAATGAGTAGTTTACATCTGAGTGAAGGTCATAGAATCAGTTTTTTCATAATGATGAGAATGAGGAGAAGGGGCAGGGCTGGTCGGGGAGCTGGGCCTTGGTAATCCTGGGACTTGACTGGATAGCACCACGCTGTGCATTAGAAGGGTGGGATGGGGGGTTGGGCAAGCCACCATGGACCTCGGGGTGATGTCTTGGCCTTATCTTGAGTTCCAGGTGTGAAACCAGGCACAGCTGGGCAGTGGGAGTAACTTTTGCTCAGGCACTGCATGAGGGGTCGTTTGGGCCATTACCATAACCCAGGGGTGGGCAAAATGGTGGATCCAGCAGGTGGGGCCATAACAGCAGCAGGGCCATGACAGCGCCAGGCCAGGGTTTCCATGGAAACAAGCCCCAGCAGCGCTGGCAGGACATGTGGCTAGGTTGGGGGGCTGCTCCAAGGCCAGGATCTTGCAGCGGTGAGCGTGGTCCAGAGCTGGGGCAGAGCTGCGATGCCCCTGCCCAGGCCATGCGGACAGCGGATCATAGCTCTGCCCTGGAACTGAGCCACACTGTCACTGCCACAAGGTACCAGCCCTGGAGCAGCTCCTGGCCCAGCTGCACACCCTGCCAGTGCTGCTGGGACAGGTCTCCACGGAAACCCTAGCCCCATGCTATCACAGCTCTGACACTCCTGGAGTCTCCACAGAAACTGGTCTCAGCAATGCGGGTAGAGGCTGCTGGGAAATGGAGTCCACTGTGGGCCCAGTCTGGCCTGCGGGCTGGACTTTGACCACCTGTCATCACCACTCAACTGAAGAGTGAGGAGTGGTGCGGCCAGGAGATGTGCACCCACATCGTGAGTGACTACAAAGCTCTGGGGGTGGGCTCAGGAAG